AAAGCGCGCCCTGTCGCGCAGGATGCGGAGGCCGCGGAGCAGCCGGACACAGATCTGCTGCCGGAGAATGTGGCAGCTCGGACGCGGAAGCGCGGTTCCGCGCGGACCCGTCGTTGAACGGGTAGGTGCTTTTTGAGGGTACCCTGTTTGGTGTAAAGACAAAACTGCAATTGTGGGGTCCCCCTATTTTGACACACACCCTTTACAAGGATGATTTGATTAATTGGTTTGGTGGTTTAAAGGGTTGGTGTATGGGCAACTCTCAAAATAAGGGTCCGCCAAACTGGTTGTTTTCCCTTTGGTTTCCCTTGAATACCATCCAAAGTCCACCATTTGAGAAACTTCCATTCTTGTGTTTGCTTTTCAAAAGGGTTGGTATTGCTCCGATAGAATTCTTGTTGAAGGGGTTGGTAACGTTTGCTTGTGGTTGCTTAAAGGGTTGCGGTTGTTTTTTTTTGTTTGAGAGTTCTTACATTTTGTGCCTATGTGTGTTTATTGTGAAAAGCAGTTGTTTTTGGCATTCTAGTTTCAGCCGCATGTTTATTATTTTTTGGTTGCTTGTTAACGCATTGTTGTATATATCTTGTTTGGTTTGCTCTTGATGACAGGTTTGGCAGATTTTTCTGAGCTTGTTTGTTTAAGGGGTTGGTATAGTTTGTTTCATTTGCCTGTTTGGAGGATGGGTATATGTTGCTTGGTTCGCTCAGTAATAGAGTTAGCGTATGCTGTTTGATATTTGTAGAGCTTTTGCATACTGTTTGGTTCGCTTGTTTGAGGGTTGGTGTCTTGTCCGGATGCATCAGGGCTTGGTATGCATTTGGTTGTTTGACTTTTTTGTTTGCAGTTTAAAGCAAAGGGCTTTGTTTGTGTTGGTTGGCTGCCCATCAGTTGTTGTTTGTGTTTAGTACGCGATACCATTTTGTTGGTTTGTTTGGTGAAGCGACGTTGTTCGGTTTGGATGTTTGCAGCATTTTTGTTTGGCTGTTGAAAGGGCTTTGACTTTTTGTTTGCTGTCAATTTGTGGCGGTTGTATGGGGATTGAAGGCACGTGCTATGGCTTATGTGCCATATAAGTTTGTAAGGAATTATCTACTTGGACCTTTAAAGGGGACCAGGGGTTGGCTCCTTCAGCAACTCTTGCAACCAGCCCTGGTGGGGTTTCCCCTAAGCCATCCTCTGGGGTTTCCTTTGGGGGATCCATAGTTTCATTCCCAACGCACTCTGATTCGCTCAAAAACCAAGCAGAACCATGAAGGAATTCCATGGCAACCAGTTTTCCCGGAGAACGGATGGAACTGAGGCACCCAAATCCACCGTCCCTTACGGTCAGGATCTGTCGTGGACCGGAACCATTATTGCCGGTGGCGATTGTCTGTTAGCATCTAGCCTGCTATACGGGGTATATACTGACAGTCCTTTTGTGACTCCATCTCAGAAATGGTTGAGAGAGAAGGCCAGGTCCGTTGGGGGTTTCGGTCCCTTCCTAGATTGTACGTATTTTGCCTGGAGTTGGGCTCCCTCCTCATCATGAGAGGGACGAAGAGTTTTCGGCTATTGGCCGGAGCACTGTGAGGAGGCCATTTGCTCGATATCGGGGACCAAAGCGAAGATGATGCGATCTGCAAATCGCATAGCCTGGGTGCGAAAAACTCGATGGATACCGTCGCGGCGAAGTTTCGGCCTGGGTGGAAAGGAGGCCTGCCATCTTCCTTTGAGCCTTGAGCGGAGAATGGCGAGTGAATCGGCAAAGTCATCCAGACAGACTCATGGGTTCGATGCGCGCGCAACGCTGTGAATCCCCCACCCCTTCGGATAGACGTTTTGTAGCCAAAGTTGGGGCGGTCACTTGTACGCCACGTCAACGCTCCTGTTTCTTGAGAAAAATGACTGCAGCTTTCGGTGAGTTTCAGCCTAAGGACATCGTTGTGGCGGATCCTGTGAGAAGGTTTGCTCACCGAATGTTTTGATGTGTGAGGCTCGACGAATTCCTACACGGCTGTTGGGTGGGCGTTCAAGCTGGCTGATTTCTTTTTGCAGCCTCTTTAAGTCCCATCCAGGAAGAGGTATCTCTCTGAGTTTGTTGTTCAAGATGGGGCCGGAAATTTTGGTTTCCCTTCATTCACCAATCAAAAAGGGGTGGTCCGCCATTTGGGAAACTTCCACATGAGCCAGGGTGAATCATCAAATGGTTTCGAAGCAAGTGATGACAGCATGGTCCACAGCTAGTTTTGCCATGGCACATATTTCACCCCGAAGACGTTTCAATCATAGATGTGCCTTGAAATCTGGCCCTGGATCGGTGGCTCTTGTTAACAAGACCAAAAATCAGTTGTCCTGCTTCCGCACTCTGAATGGGATACCCCAAAACCATGCCAATAAATGGCTTACATGTGAGGTACCCACGATCGTACAGGTGGGTTATGTCCATGTGGGGTATGCCCATGTGGGGTATGCCCATGTGGAGTATGCCAAGCTTCACCACAAGGGAACCACACCCTGGGCCTTGGGCGAAATCTGGTCGCTCGACAAAGGTCCGCTTCAAGCCTTCAACAATGATCTTGGACCATGGCTAGTCCTTGGTAGATCCCAAAAAGCCCTCAAGACCTTGGCAATCTATTTTTTTCTTCGCTCAGCCCGCAGGTGTATTTTGGTTTTAGAAGACCTATTCACGTCAGGATTCCTAGGGACTCCCAATCACGTTCCAGCTTCGCATGAAGACAACCCGTAGCCGCATTGGATTGGACTTTTCGCAAAAGGAAGCTGCCTTGAGCCCTCCGTTGCCACCCCCCGCACCCTTTTCTGAAGGGGGGTGTACCTTTTTGATTTTGAAGGAGAACGAGGGGTGTGTCATTTGTTGCTTGAATTCCCTTTGGCAGGGGCCTTCTTTGTATTGCAATCACATACGCATTTCTGTTATATATTAATTTTATATGTGTTGGAGCCCTTGGTACATGACCAGGGCTGGAGAAAGACACGGATCTTAGGCGAAGATGTCTTACAACGAGTTCAACGCCGCCCTGGCAGGGGCCTGCAGGGAAGACGCCGGGGGCCCCGGGAACCAGCCGGGTGGGTTTTGACCTGGGTGGCTCGCCCGTTTTTAGGAGACCCGCAAAGGAAATTGTGTTTTCCTTTTGGGTTCCCAACCAGAACCAACCAAAGCAACTTCCCCCCATCCTTCCCTTTAGAGCCAACCAAAAAGGGATACCCTCAAAAACAGACACACCCGTCTGTGTTTTGGGTATCGGATTTGTTGGGACGCGGGTGGGTGGTTGGAGACATGCCAAGTTCATGCTGCCGTTCATCTTGGGCCTCGTTCGGCACCGCTTCATTGCTCTCCGGTGAGTGGCCGCGCCCAATTTTGCCATGTCCTCTTGAGAAATGCCTGATACACGAGTCCGTGAAAATCAGGGTCTGCTCCAAATGACGGAGAGGTGAGAACATTTTGCTGGTGCTCGGAAGAATTGGGTGGGCATCAGTCTTCCGCCGAAAGGCGACGTGCAGGTGCTGCCACGGATAGTAATTCAGAGGGAGCAGTGCGGGTCTCTTACAAGTCCTGACTTGCAGCAATATGGAAGTAAGCAGGATGATGTGGCATCTCTCTGCCAGAGCATTTAAGAGTTCCCCAGAAGCTCCCAGACATTGCCATGCTTGTCGCAATTTGCCCCGGCGTTCTATGTGTGTTTGCTGGCTCACTCTGAGACTGCGGTGCTTGAAGAACGCCCAACAGTCGTGAAACTGCGTCGACCCTCGCACATCAAAAAATTCGGTGACCAAACCTTGTGACAGAATCCCCCAAGTCCAATCGAGGGTGAACAATCTTGCCCTTCAAGCCTTGGAACGAGCTCCTATCCCGTTCGCATTCAACCCCATTTTGGAAGCGGCTTCCTCAAGTGGTTACATTTTGAGGGTTCCCAGTATTACTTTTGGGGGGGTTTGCCTTCAAAGCAGATTTTAGAGGATTTTTTGAGGATGTCACTTTAATGACCCTGTACCACAGACCAGCGGTGAGCATTTTTCTTGGGTGGGCGATGGTTTTCCTTGTGACCTGTTTCCTCTGAACCCCACGTTTTTCAAAGCAAGGGGGCGCCACAGTGTTTCTTGGAATCCTACAAACACCATGCCCCATGGGTTTCCCTTTCCTCCTCGTTAAAACATCTTCTTTTCCGGGGATCCGAACCTGCCACCGCTGCGCAGCGCGGCCCGGCAGAGGATTTCCGGAAGTACAGAGACCTGTGGAAGCACATTGACCAGACCCGCAGCGACAACACCAGCTTCGCCCCTCGCATTGCAATCTGACAGCCGTGTTTTTTATTCATTTATTTTATTCATTTTTTTTTGGGCGGGGGAGGAGGCGCCAACAAAAAGGTCCACAGACAGCTTTTTCGTTTTGGTTTCTGTTTATGTCTCTTTTGGTAGAGCGAACTTGTGGTGTTTGGGTGAGAAAAGCCAATCCCTTGGGACCTGAGAATCACGTTTTGGTACTTTGTGATAGGGCCTCAATCACTCGTTCATACACCGGGCACAGATAGCCGAGATTGAAGTCACTGCGGGCAATCTGCGGCAAGCACGAAGATATCCCGCTGTTCATGACGATTTAGGTCAGATTTGGATGAGCCCCTGGAATACCTTTAGCAGCTTTGAGAATGGAGGAACCGTCGTGGTTTGCCCCTTTGCCGTTGCTCTTTTTGCTTGTGGCACTGCTTGCCCGCGTGGGGTGTCAGAGTCTTGCCTTTTGGATGGGTATTCTTTGCTTGCCATTGGAAAGACCCACAAATCCTTTTGGAGGCCAACCCTTTTGCTGCTCACCCACCTGTCTCTTTTTCACTTTATCGCCGTCAGGACGACGCCCTACTGGCGGACGGGGGCTTGAAGCATCTGAAATATGCCCGGCTGCCCGTCCTGTTCTGCGAGCCCGGCAGTGAAAGGGCCCCCTTTAGCCCCATGAGGCATCCAAAAAAGATCACAGCTTTTTTGGTCCTTCTGGAATTGTCGGAGTATATGTTTGGGGCTGTGTGGGTCTGGGTTCTCAGACCCCCTTTCGGCAAGATGAAAGGAGGCCCCGCAAAGGTGCCGGTGTCTGCACTTTTCGGGGCTAGATCGTTCCTGGGAGCTTCCGGTGGGCATGTTGCCCAAACATGGGAACCCAAAGGTGTTCACGGGTGATTTTACCAGTCATGTTTTTCTTTGAGTAGGCAACCATGGGAAGCAACAATCTGCAACCTAGACAAAGCAATGCTGATCTGGGTGTTCCCTACATGGTAACTGGAACAGGCAAGCTTGCTGGCGTTCTTTGTTTTTATCACGGAAGGGCAAGAAAGAACCTCAGATGGCTCAACCCTCTTGTCCCAAGGCTTGCGCAACTACCTCAAGCTGCCAAGTTGTATGTCAAGGTGCCCTGAGGGCCTAAAATGGACGGACCTCAAATGTTGTGGGGACCCCCTGAAATGGTGTGGAGGATTCCTTTTAAAATCCCTTTGAAAGAACGCCAACAAGGTACCAAATGGGCATGCTTATCGGGCTTAGCGCTTCAAACAACCAACAGTTGGTGGGGAGTGTCTCCAAGTTAGGTGTTGAGCCGAACAAGAACAACAAATGGTTTCTCAAGCAGGTGGCGCCCCAAAAATAGGTGGCTTGCTCTTGGCGTGCAGATAAACAATGCCAAACAGGGGTCCGAGGTCCGACCTCCATTTTGCGAAGCTCTTTTGGGCGGGGTCTCCCAAGTTGAAGACAAATCCGTACATCCCCCCCCCCGCCCCGAAATCGGTGAATGAGGGAATGATCCTTATAAACCATCCCTTGTGGTTTCCTTTAAGGGGACCCCCTGGGTTCATTCCCGCATTCCCTACTGAGCACCAGGAAGCGTCGGCAAACCATTGTTTAAACAACCTCCATTTTAGTTTCCCGATCGTTTTCCCCGCAGAGTCAGCCTTCCCACGGCCCGAAGCGCCTCCACCCCCAACGGTCCGAGCAAGGCCTTCCGACACTCCGATGCCCTGTGGCGGGAGGCAGGCGCACGGACACCCAGAGTTCGCCAAAACCGCTCTCGAAACGGGCGAGTCGACGAGTTGGGCGTTGGGCCGATTTTGGCAAGTAAAAACGGGGTCCCTATGTTGCAACTCTGTATTTTTGAAGGTGGCCGGTCTCACACAATTTTGGCAATCTGACGGGACGCGTGGTAGCTTTGAGTACGTCACTTTTGGGCCCAAGGGTGAGTTTCCGTTGGTGACATGTCAAGGGAGAGGGGTCATTGTGAGCTGCGGATTTCGGGCCTGGAGAGCCTCGACTTCGGTCTCCAGGGCTCTGCTCCAGCGCTCCAAGTCCGGCAATGCGAACCGAGGAATCCAGGAATCTCCCCTCAGCCGCGCGAAGATTGGGAAACACCTATGATTGGTATGGTCCTCCGGATTCATGCGCGAAATCGGCATGATGACTTCGGCCGAGTCCGCGGGACAACCAGTGGTCCATTTGTGTATATATATATATATATGTATATATATATATAAGCATATGTATAGATGACCATTTCGAACAATGTCGAGAAGGGTATCAATCAACAAGCTACAGTTGTATCTATACATGTATATATACGCACGTATATGAACATAGATGTTTTGCTTCCTTTTGGGACTCGGATTGTCCTGGCTTCGAGCGCCCGCGGCCTGTGCTGACACTTCTGTTTCTATGTGTTTTGACCGGCACTGTTTAGGTTTTGAAGCTCCACTTGCAGGGGCCGGACAACGTCTTGTGCTGTCCTATTATTTGGCTTGGCAATTTAGTTGCATTTCATTTCAGCTCCCTCTTAGTTGAATACCCCCAGTTTTGGGGGTACCCCTTTTTTTAACAAAGGAGCCCACCAGAAAGCTGGGTGAAACGGATCAACTTGAATGGGGTCGACCCCCGACCCGTTTTCTGGCCATGAAGGGGCGGGACCTAGTTGTCCTTGAGCCCCTCAAAGCAACCCCCCCAAATGGGTACCCAAAAAGTAGCTGTCCTTTGAGCCCGCCTATAGGTTTTTTCTTTTAAATCCCCCGATACAAACCTAAGCGTGCTCTAAAAATCGGTTTCCCTTCGAATCCGTCTAAATCCTGGAAAAGAGTACACGACATTGCCCTTTGAACACCATCCTAAAACTGGAAACGAGTATCCTCCAAGTGGCGTGTTGTTTTTAGGGGACCCCAAACATGGTGGTTGTGCCTTTGGTTTCCCTTTAAAGGCACCAAAACGGGGTACCGTGTTCCCCAACAAAGACATCCTCAGATAGGCGTCCCTTATCCCCGAAAAAGACTCGGGCCCTGTGACTCACGGCCCAGGTTCGCATGTCTCGGACCTTCTTCCACAACCGCGAGGCACTGGCCGAGCCGCACGAAGTGCAAGCCTGTAGCGGGCGCTGTCTTGGGCATATGGGTTTGGGTAATATATGCATGGTATCTCTATGGAGACTCCTGATTTTCGGGTTGGTGAATCATGCTAGTTCACCCAGAGACACGTGTATGTGTATGCATATATATATACACACTAGTATGCATACGCGTATCTCCATATGCATCTAAAGTCTTACTTACCCGAAATGAACATTCCACCCACCTACAAGCCATACGTGTATACATATATATATATATAGGATGACGCGTACGTACCCTAGATACCCCTGTACAAACTGTTGGGACTAATTTTGCTTTTCTCCTTTGTAATTGGGAGGGTGGGGGGGGGCTTGGGTTTCACCCAAGTTAACTTTGAGAGAGTCACTTGGATGGACATTGGGGGCTGGACAGCCAGTAGAAATCAGCCGGGCCTTTCTTGCGAGTGCTTTTATGTTTTGAAGGGAATCGGCCATCTAGCTCGAAGTAGGAGAAATAATGCCTTTGAATAGTTGAATATGCAAGGATGGCAACCATTTGAAGGGAGCTTTCTGCAGGGTTTCTGGCACAAGGATGGGGAGGGGGAGCGGTCTGCCACTTTTTCAGCAGGAGGCCGGAGTGTAGTGCCGTAGCCCGAAAAGCACTTCCAGATCTTGTACCCCTCCCATGTGAATTCAGGCCCTTCCCTTTGATTTTGTCAGGCAGTGCCGCGGGCCGTTTTGTTGCATGCCTTGCGCATCTAAATGGGAGGCTTGGTACAAGCGTCCGAGCTCTCCCAATCGTTTCCATGGCTCCACTGAACCAAAAAATTGCAATTGGCGACGTTTTTGCCAGGCTATCAGATCCCTCAGAAGTCCGCCCACGCTCAGAGTCAGGGAGGCCCAAGACCACTTAAAATGTATGACTCACTTGTAGAGTTTCCAGCTGGCTATGCGCGACCAGTTGAATTTCACCCGATGAGGTCCCCTTGAACAGCTCGCTCCGCCAGGCGCGGGAGAAGTTGGTGGCCCTCGACTTTGTAGGCGCGCAGAAAAAATCCGGCGATGCCCAGCGGAGTTGGGCTCCTGTAAAGCCTTGAAAACCTAGCTTTGGTATGAACTACAGGACACTTTCTGTTTGGGTTGTGGGCTACGCATGGGAGATTCGTCGGCGTCTCATCGAGCGCTGGGTCCCATTCAAAGGTTCGACTCGGGTGCTCCTTTTTAACCTTTCAACTCTTTTCTTCAGGGTGCCCTTTTGGGGTTGGTTTAAAGGGAAACCAGAAAGCATTTTGGGGCATCCATTCAGCGGAACCCTGGCGTGCTTTTTTCTGAGGGTACCCCCGAAATGGTAGAGGGAAACCAGAAGGACACCTGTTTTGAGGCTTCCCCTTTGAGACAAATCCAGCGATTTGAAGTCCAAGAAGTGGATCCTGCCACACTCGTGATGCGAGGCTCGATGATGCTCCTCACGATGCCCAAAGATGGCCGGGCGCTCAAGAACTCCGGGCGTGTGGCCGTTCGTTTCGGGGGGAGCCCGTCTTTTGGGTTTTCAAGGGACAAAAGGAGAAGCCACCCAGTGCTCGGGAATCCGCCGATGGTCCCATGTTGTGGTACTTGAGAATCCGCAGTCAGCTATCCTTGCGGGAAATCGAGCGCAGGAGTCTGGGCAAACCTCCGAATTTATGGCCCATGAGTGTTTTTCAAAGAATATAGGAGATCCCAGAACAGATTGGTTTCCGGTTGCTTTTCCTTTGGGAAGCGAGTCACAAAAAGTCCCCAAAGTTTCTTGTGGAGAGGGCAGAGTCTCCAGCGCTTGTGTTGTTCATATACGTAGTTAAAAAAACAGTGTTTTTCCCCCAACAGCTGAAAGCTTTGGGGTCTCAGCCCAGATAGGCTCCGGGGTGGTCCGGGGCGGCCCTGAGGTAAGGTTCCACGAGGGTTCCACCAGGGTTCCCCACAACCGCACCGCATGCTGTTGGGGATCTCACCCGAGCTTATTTTTTTCTCAAAGTAATGAAACACGCATTGCCGGGAACACTGGTTTCTCCAAACAGATTCTTTGTGCGTGATGGCCTGACAATTGTGTGTCTCATTTGATCTGGTCCCATGTCTGCCAGGGCAATCAAAATCAACAAACCCGCAGACTTGCTTCTGCAGCTTTCACAATTCCCTTTGTACAAGATCTCACTGAGTCTCGAAAAATATTCCTATTTCGCTAGTATTTAAATTACTAGGGAAATACTCCGGGAATTCCCTATTAGTATTTCCCTAGTATTCCCCTGGTATTCCCTACCTCGATTGGTATACCCTGTAGTATTCCCTCAGTGTTCCCCTGATTCTCTTGGTAGACCCTCTAGTAATCTGTCGGTGTTCCCCTAGCATTTTCGTAGTTGGGATGTTCCGGTGACCATTTACCAGCTACCCTTTGGGCTTCCTTTTCTTAGAGGCGTACCCCTGGTTTTAGGCTGTTTTCAAACCCAAAGTGCACCACGCATTTGGGGGGTTCGCCAATCGGCTGAAAACCCTTTCAGCCTGTTGCCGATCCGCCAGGCGTTGATTTGGAGGACGACGGAGGCGCTCAGTTTGAATCCGTCGCAACGGTTCCACGGGATTCCTACACATAACCCTCGGAGCATATTTCCTGCATCCCGTTTGTTTTGTTGGGACACCTGCGTTTTTCTCCCCAGGGCGAGGGGGGAGGGGGGGGACATCACTTTGATGTTGTGTCCAGGGTGTGCTTTGCTTTTGGCCACTGCTTCTGAGACCCAAAAGGCTTCTGAAGATGGACCATGCGATGCTGAAATGGTGCCGTCCTTTTTCTGGCAGTGCCCTTTTCGGGGTTGGTTGCAAGGGTCCTCGCAGGAAACCGCGCCTATGTTGGAGGCTTCTTGCCAAGAGGCATACTGAACTCTTTGTAAGTTGAAACACACGGAGCCCTTCCAAGAGTAGACGTACGGACCCTTCCGAAGAGGGAACGCAGGACACCTTGTTCAGTGATGTCTGGTAAGAGTCATCGAAGGATTGCGCCCTGCGTGGGAACACCGGGCTCGCTATTTGCATTAATCGCCAACACACGACCACGGATGGAGCAGGCCATGTGCTTCATGTTTTGAACGTGTCACCAACATGGATTCAAGGATGGTGTTGGGAGCAATGATTTGAGTATGGATCTTGATGGGGAGCGCTGTCCAAAACGGTTGGTGGACATAAACCTCAGTGTAAACAGGGTCCACCAAAGGGTTTGTTTCCAGTTGAATGCATTGCTCGATATACCCATTTGGAGCTTGGAATCCTATTCACCGATGGCCCCAGTGATTTGTAAATTTGACACAACTCCGTTTAGGACACCTACCCCAAGGCAGAGGCCGAAAAAGAACTAGGATTTTCGGCTGACGTTCAATCCAAAGCGTCAAGAACCGGTGATATCGGCATCGATCTTTCTGCTTCTCCACAGAAATCGACTCCTGGGTTTCAGCTTTATCTGAGTGAGACACCTCAGGGCCAAAACACAACCGGACCATGATTTCAATGATTTCCTCGGTGCTCAAGGCGGAAAGTCGGACGCTTTGTCGGGTCGGTTTGTGGCTAGGACTCCAGCAAGGCACCTCAGAGGCGCGGATGTTCGGCTCGGTCCGTTCAAGTGCCACTCGCAAGATGAAGACAGCGGTGATCCCGAAACCCGACAAGCCCCCGGTTCGTTTCACGGAACACCAGCAAGGTGACACTCGCGAAATGAGTCTTCAAATGGCGGTGAACACAAGAAGTCAAATTGGGGAGGGTTTGTGCAGTATCACTGGTTTGTAGGTTCTTCCCTTCGCACAATGAGGATCAACTCTATGTCGTGTGCTTCCAGGCAAGCCGTCGTAGGGGGTTCACCATGCAAAACCCAGAGGAAAAAAACACCTTACTTGCCGGGAAGCACTAGTCACTGGGTGGGTCAGAGTCACAACCTGAATCATCAGTACCTGGTGTCTGTGTGGTTTGGACATGGCACTGCCTCCACTCCCCAGAAGTTATTTCTGGGGGGGGGATACTGGGTCTCCTGGGGTGTAAGTTAGCGCAGTCGTGAGAGTATCCATCCCTGAAAACAACATGCTTTGTATTCAGCTGGGACCCGTGTCTCTAAAGGGAGGTCTCTTCATTTCTTGGTGGGCGGGGGGTTAAAAGGTAGGGAGGGACTGGTCAGAGAGGGGTTCCACACTTTGGGGGGTCCCTTAAACAAACAGCATCGGTATCAGTTTCTCCCGCAAAAAGGCAGGTTCCGCAACTCCCTCGAAAACGTCCCCTTGTTTTCGCAGGCGGTTCTTCCATTTCTTCGCGGAGTGGGGCCAACCGGCGAAGCCTGTTTGGAGCAATCCAAATGTGTCAACGACTTCATCCGAGTGGCCAGCCTCTCCAGGAGCAATTCCAACTGCTCGCTGCAGCGGGGGCCCGAAGGGCTGAAGGGCCGAAGGGCCGGAAGTGGGCTCGGGACCTTATGAATGTTTAAAGGGAGCCTTACAAGTTGGTGGACATCCATTTCCACCTAAACGAGGTCCACCGGGTCCCCTATGAAATTTAACACAAGACCAAGATGGTGTCCTTCTCCTCTCTTTTGGCTTCTGGGAGTGCGCGCCTTTCAACGAAAAAGCTGTACGGTATGGCTTCAGTATGTGGGGCTCGCGATGAATTTCGAGCAGCTGCTGTTGCCGGCTACGGCAACGAAGCACAACGCTTGTCCGAGCCACACACTGGCAGTCTTGGGACCCAAATTCCTCACCAAGCAACAAGGGGACTGCGCCTCAATTTTCCCTTGGGGAAACCTTCGCAATCTGAAGTCCGTAAATGACCATTCCAAGGCCCGTGCCTGTTGGGTTTGATTTCGACCCAGCCGCAGTACACCTGTCGACTGCTGCTTTTACCAACATGTCTACAGTGGTTTTCTGCAGGCCCTGCCAACATCTTGTTGAAACCAGGCGTGGAGCACCCAGTCAAATCGTCCAGTTCGTGTTTTGGGTGCGCGTGCGGGACGTGTTTCAAGCTGCCCGGAGGCGTCCATTTGGCCAACCGCCCAACTACGAATGCAAGTCGCCGATAGCGGATCTCCTACAACGTGTCCCTCCATTTCAAGCTGCGCATCCCCGGAAAAAGGTCTAGAAGCTTCTCTGGGCGTGTTGAAGAGGTGACTCTTCTTTGACTTCCCCTTCAAACCCCTCCGAAAAGGGACGACTACCTTGACTCGCGCAACAACATGGTTCTGCTGGGGAGTACTTAGCCAAAGGACAAGAAACTTGTTGACATAGGTGTCCTTTTTGGTTGTTGTGGTCGAAAAATAGATGGCCCTGGTTTACCTGGTGGTTTAATCATGTATCTTGGCCATCTATTTGCCCCAAAAGGACACCTATGCTTGTTGTCCTTCAGTGGGCTGTGGCTCTAAGGAGACGATCTTGGAGATGGCAGACTACTCGGAGCCGGGGGTCCCGTTCCAATCGAAACCGGGCTCGGTGCACTTGGGAGGGGGCTGAAAGGGAGCTCGAAGGGAAAGCACCCATCTGTCTTGACTGCTATTGGATTGGATCTTTAGACTTAAACTTTTTGAGAAATAAAGGTATTTGGGAACATACACCCTGTGGAGCTTTGTCTCTCAAATAGCTCTGGGCGAACTTTTGGGGGCACTTGAGCGAAATCCCGAAGGGAATACCAAAAAGAACCGGAGGATTGCGTTTCGACACAAACACGAGACATGCGGTGTGTCAACTCGGCCAATTGTATATTTTAGACACTAGGGACAGAACCCTAAATGTCGACCATGAAACGCACCAAGCGCTGCATCATCTGGCTTTGGGCCCGGGTTTTTTGAAGGCTCTCCAAACCCCGAATTTCGACCTTTAGGCCCAGTATCTATCCATTTGGGTCTTTCGGGGAAGCGCGAGCGGGGAAGCTGCCATGGGCGCCTTGGTGCCTTCCTGTCTGGCCTCGCTTGCGAGCTATCTCATCCTACCACAAATCGAGGGTGATGTATGAAAAATGGAATGGATGAATGAGACGCTGATGAAGTTTGAACTGGCCGATTTTTCCTTCGCGTTTCCCTTGGACGCCAAATTGGGAGGCACCCCAGTTTGTTTTTATCCACCTGGAGGTTCGGTCAGCTCCAGTCAGGATGGTTCGGTGACTTCCCCCTTATTGGAGCCCAGAGCTCAAATGATCCCAATTTCAGGAATACACGCACACAAATGGGTTGTCTCAAATTGTGAACCCCCCCAAATGTGTATTATATCATATATATATATGCATACACATGTGTTGTCGAGGGTACCCTTTTTAGGCTGGTTCGAAGGGAACCAAAAGGACCGCCACTTTTAGGGTCCTACTTGGACACATACCCAAATAGATTTCTGCTGGTTTCCGTTCCAACGACCCCCCAAAAAGGTGTTCCCCTCGGAAAAATGGGCGCCGCAGCCTGGGCGCCACCGACTCGATCCGAAGCGATTCCACTAATTCATCTAGCCCAAGGTCCACTTGGATATTCCGGTTTGCCATTTTTATGAGTTTGTTTTTGCTCAGTTTGCGAAGGTGTGAAATTCGGTCTTGGGAGAACGTAATGGGGATCGATATTAACAGAAAGCCTGGCGCCTTCCCCATTTTGGAAGTTTCCGTATTTGGAGACTTAACACGTGGATTCCTCATTTCCAGTTTGCGTTTTTCCTTAAACCCAGAGATATTGGTTGGTTCCTCATTCTGGTGTTCAGCGCACGTGAGGTTCATGCCGTCGCTGTGTTCCACCAGTGTCCTGAACTTCCTCTGCATCGCTCTGAACCAGGCCCCGCAGGTTTTTCGGGAAGCGAACGGAGCGGAAGGGGCTGAAATCCGGGGCTTCAAACGAACATGGGAGCGCCACGAAGGGATTGTTCAAGGATTCCCTGGATTCCCGTCCCTTTGAGGCTTTAACGTCAATCCCCCAAGCAAATGATATCCACAAGGGGTGACAATTTCGCACCCTACTATGTGGGTGTCTTTTGAGAGCCGGGCCTTTGAAGCCGTCCATAACAGGGTTTCACGTTATCAAAACGATGCATGTGTGTGTGTGTGTTGTGTGTGGGTGTGTGTTGCGTGTTGCGTGTTGTGTGTTGTGTGTCGTGTGCTGTGTGCTGTGTGTTGTGTGTTGTGTGCGTGTGTGTGTGTGTGTGTTGTGTGTTGTGTGTTGTGGGTTGTGTGTTGTGTGTTGTGCGTTGTGTGTTGTGTGTTGTGTGTTGTGTGCTGTGTTGTGTGTGTGTGGTGTGTTGTGTGTTGTGTTGTGTGTTGTGTGTTGTGTGGTGTGCGTTGTGTTCTGTGTGTTGTGTGTTGTGTGTTGTGTGTTGTGTGCTGTGTGCTGTGTGTGGTGTGTTGTGTGTTGTGTGTTGTGTTGTGTGTTGTGTGTTGTGTGTTGTGTGTTGTGTGTTGTGAGTTGTGTGTTGTGTGTTGTGTGTTGTGTGTGGTGTGTTGTGTGTTGTGTGTTGTGCGTTGTGGGTTGTGTGTTGTGTGTTGTGTGTTGTGTGTGTGTGCGTCTGTGTGTCTGTGTCTGTGTCTGTGTCTGTGTCTGTGTCTGTGTGTCTGCGTGTCTGCGTGTCTGTGTGTCTGTGTGTGTCTGTGTTTGTTTGTTTGGTTGTTTGTTTGTGTTTTTGCCGCTACCCTTTTTAGGCTGGCTTAGAGGGCAACCAAAGGACAGCCGCCATTTGTTGGGCGCCCCTATTTTGACGCCCCAAATAAGCAAGCCTATGGGCTCCCTTCGGCCACGTCAGTTTGGTCCGGTAGGTGCCGCCTGCCGTGGAGACCGTCACCCACACCTTTGCTGGGCGCCTTATGGGGATGAGAACGGATCGCGGACGCAAGTCTCAATAGCCGTCCCCAGGATACATGGCCAGCCAAAAAAGGCGCATCAAACCTGATTTGGAGGGTCCGGCTCCTTGTAAAGCAGGGTTTTGGATGTATTTCAGGAACTCCGATACAGGGGAAGCCCCCAAAAATGTGTGCTTCTTTGTGAAACCCCGACAACGGTAGGAAGACGACACACCAAGGGTACCTGCGGTGCTCCATGGTCCAATGGTGACCCTCCAAGGCGTCCAGTTTGGAAACTGGCGTCAGCTGGGAATCTGTTCGCACCCTTTCACAGCCACTTGTGCTAGATGTAGGCTGGGCTGAGGAACTAACTAGTTCACCATTTGGAGAAACACTGTTTCCCCACTAATGTTCAAGCTGATTTACGTTTCGCAGGGGGTCAAAGACCAATCCAGTTCCAAAGGCCGTGAACGTGCGCGTGCACCATCAACCCTCAAATTCTGAATTCCGGGTGTCTACAAGCTCCGAATTCCCTCAGCGAAGTGTAGAGGGAGTCACAAAGCGACGACGAAGGAAGACTGCAAGGCGCAGCAACACACAGAAACCCAACGGGGCGGTTTCCATTGGGGTAAACCCGCACGTGTTGCTTCGGAAGTTGGTCCAGCGAAGCTTGGTTTCAAGAAAGAACCATCAATTTCAGGGGCTTAACTTTAGGCCAGGGATCCTGAAAAGCCTTGAACGAGAGTTACTACAGCACAAAGGGTGTTTCTTTGGTTTGGACGGTTTCAAGATCCCAAGTTTGTTTGTGGTGCCACGGGGTCCCGGTATTGGATTTGGAAACGGTCCATTCCCAGAAGATGGGCTTGTCCAGCAGGGGAGCCTGCAAGACGGGCTTCGGCATTCTGTTGGTTTCCCTGGAAGCAACCCGTTTGACACTCAAAGCAATACTCAGAGGTGAAAAACGCTGACGGTAGCAGGGAACCCGCCTGGTTTCAAGAGCACCACACAATGCTTGAGTACCAACGAGTCATACCAGGGCATGTGCAGTGTTCTGAAATATGCCGTTCAAAACGAGGTCACCCAACACACGGACACCCCCCTCCCCTCCCCTCGGGTGTTGCGCTTCTGCCTGGGATCTCAGAATGTGAGAGGAGGGATTGGGGTTTCCACCCAGTCCAGTCCAGGGTTTGCATTACCTTACCCAGTGGATCCCAGTTTTCCCTTGCAGGTAAGAAGCCACCTTCCTTTTGTTTCTAAGGGGACTCTGGCCATTTTAGGGCCCACTGTGGATGGCAAATGGTTCATCCAGGTATTCATAAGTTTTCATTCACGCAAGTGGATCTTGTCCATCCGCTGTGTTTTGATAACCTTGGTTACCTGCTACATCTGCTGGGTTACGGTACACATGAACAGGCGTTCTGGATCCATACTTTGAGGTGTGCCCCCCATATTTCAGTTCGGGAATGGACATCCACGGTGTTTTTCTTCCCCACGGCTGAAAGCCATGGGGTCCCCAGATCGGCTCGTTCGGGTTGGTTTTGGGCAGCTTTCAGGAAAAACTCCACCAGCGGGGTGCTGGGGCCCCCCCCGAGGTGAAGATCTCAGCTGATCCCCTGAACCTGCCCGTGTTCCTGGGAGGCCGGGGTGAAAAGGGCTCAAAGAGGGGACGGGCTCTTTTTTTCCGTGTTTTGTTTTTGGCGTGGTTGAAAAGAGAGAGCCAAGGCCGGATGTTCCTTTGTGGCTTTTTCACTTGGTGCCCTGTTTGGGGGGCGATTTGAATTGTCAACACAAAATACCGTCCATGACTTCCCTAGCCCCCTAGCCATCATGTATAATGGTTGGAACACCTGCAAAACTGGTTGGCGGGTGCACAAATCCAATCATGTAAACGCAATCCACCAAAAGGGTTCCCAATTAAACATCATCTCCAATTTCTCCAGAGTAGAGGGAATTCTTTTGCGGGGGGGGGGGGAGGGGGAGGCGGGGTGTATGTATGTATGTGTGTGTGTGTAGTTATTTGGTTTCCCTTTCAAGCCATCCTCCGTATTTTGAGACAAACCCATGTGACAAGGATCCACTATCGGACTCTCTCAGATGAGCCCCCTGAAATGGATGGCACTGTGTTCCAAACCAAAGGGGGGACTTCTAGGATTCTGGCAACTGAAAGGGGAAACTAGAAGTTGCTCGAAGGGGACCCAGAGAGTTCTGAAAAAAAGTCTGGCAACCTCTAGTTGCAAAGGTTTTGGTTTAAGACCTGAGGCCCCCCTTTATCAAGTTTCCTTTCAAGGGGATCTGAGATTATTGAGCGGCTAAATATCTCATTCCACCCAGCAGGGTTGTTTTAAACATGTTTTAACAAGAACTCCGGCAATCCCGTGTCACGTTACGATAAAGTGGGGTAACTGAGGCTTTAGCCCTCGTGGCTTTTCCTCTTCTTCTTTTTTTCTTAAAGGGGTGGCATCAGCGACGTTTCTGCCTGTGTCGCTGTGACTCTGGATCTTTACGCTTGGGAAGGGGAGTCGTGTTTTTTTTGCTTGCGCAAGCTCGTCATTTGGCCAACACACAAACTCGCACTGAGAGTTCAACGTACCGCTCTTTCCACTGACTCAAGCTGGTCGAAAAGGGCAATAGAAAAAACTCGTTGGTTCCATAGTGAAGCTCTCAGTGCTTCACCAGTTCAAACAAGTCTGGCCTCACTTGCCAGTCAGAAAGCCGCCAGTGTCCTTGCAACTGTAGGGGAACACACACACACACACACACCCACACCCACACCCACACCCACACCCACACCCACACGCACACGCACACGCACACGCACACGCACACGCACGCGCACACGCACACACGCACGCACGCGCACGCGCACACGCACGCGCACGCGCACCCGCACCCGCACCCGCACCCGCACCCGCACCCGCACCCGAACCCGCACCCGCACCCGCACCCGCACCCGCGCCCCGCCCCGCCGCCCGCGCCCGCGCCCGCGCCGCGCCCCGCCCGCGCCCGCGCCCGCCCGCCCGCACCCGCACCGCGTCCCCACGCACCTCACCCGCACAACGCACACGCACACGCACGCACGCACACGCACACCCGACACGCACGACGCACACGCACCCGCACGCCGCAACACGCACGCGCACGCGCATACGCGCGCGCGCACAGCGCACGCGCGCACGCGCACGCGCGCACGCGCACGCACGCGCGCACGCGCACGCCGCATGCGCACGCACGCCCGCCACACGCACACGCACACGCACGCGCACACGCCCGCGCCCGCCACGCACACGCACACGCACACACGCACACGCACACGCAAACGCACACACGCGCACGCGCACGCGCACACGCACCGCGCCCGCGCGCACGCGCGCACGCGCGCACGCGCGCACGCGCACGCGCGCCACGAGCGCCCGCGCACGCGCCCGCGCACACGCACACGCACACGCACACGCACACGCACGCGCACGGGCACGCGCACGCGCGCACGCGCACGCGCGCACGCGCACGCGCGCACGCGCACGCGAACGTGTCCGCGCACACGCACACGCACACGCACACGCACACGCACACGCACACTGCTGGTTTTTGGAAATGTGATTCGAGGACGGTCCCGGCACCTCGTAGATCTTGTCCGTGGATGTCTAGCTCACGGTTTGAGTCGGGCTTAAGCCTTTCTTCGGCGCCAGGCTCGGTGGGGGACATCCTGGAGGCCTTCTTCAAGTCCACCTCCTACTCGAAGCCAAACTCCCCGGAGAAGCTCAAGCAGTGGGCGGGGGCCCTTGAGTGATGCTTGGGCGGGAAGAAACCGAGGCTGGCATGGGAAGACTTGGGTTCTGCAGTTTTCCGGGGAGGGGAGGAAAAAAGGGCCGGCCGGAGTAACAAAGTGGACTGGAGGAACGTCTGTTCGCTCTGGGTTGGAAAGTGCGGCCAACTGGGAGCATCTTGGAGAGTGCCCTCATGTTGGTTGTGCGCCCTTACTTAACAGTTAAAAAGGACGTGCCAGATAGACATGTAATATTCAATGACAAGAGTTAACACATAAAAATGTAATTCATGCAAGTACACAATCTCCATAACATAACTTTAATCAACACAAATCACAAACCAACATTCCCAACCCCCATTCTCTACCATAGGGTCTATATGAACGGGATAAAGGAACTGATATGAAGATGTACGCCAGAAAATGTATTCGTTATTGCATGCAAGCTCTGAAATCTTGGCTAGTGTTTACATTTTTTCCATCCTAACTCTGCTTTACTGATTTTCTCACCTAATCCCTTTTGTCACATCTTTGTCTTCATCTCTCTTTCTTGTTAACTCTGAGATGTAGGTGGGAGCAGGTAAACCGTAGTTCCAAGAGTTCAATTGCCTTTATTTTCGAATCCCATCCATCTCTTGTCTCTGAAGATATCATATGAAACCAAATAAGATACACTGACAGTAAGACCTTTTCTTTGTAAGGATACTCCTTTCTTTTTTTTCTAATTACAATGTATCTGGAATATTCTTAGTTTTACATGTAACATCGGATATTAACTCATCTCTTTTAATTGGAAAGATCCATAAAGGATGGTGTTTTCATTATCCTCATTCTAATGGTGCATCATGCGTCGCTCTTTTGATATTTCCAGGGAGCTCAGGCAGCCATTGCAAGGGTTCATTCTGAAACCACGACCCACATGAGGAGTGTGAGAATGGCACATATGAGTCACTGGTGATATTATTGGACATCTACTGTTTGGGGCGGAAGTGGGGGGACAACCCAAATGTCGCACAACATCCAGGGGACCAGTAGCCTTGTCCGGGCTCGCAAGCAAGGATACACCGCGCAATGATAGAGCCCCCTATTTTCGGAGGGTCCATCTCCCAAGGCTGATTTATTAAGCCGCGATGCGCCTTCTATTGACCCTTCCTGGTTTGTTGACCCCCATGCGAGAGTGCAGGAGGCAAGAAGACGTGGAAGCCACAAACACTGTGTCCAAAGCGTTTTTGAGAGAACCATGCTTTGGGCTCATCAATGACCTGGGTTTATTTTGGGTTCCCAAGCATCATGCGCTCTTTTTTTGGTGTAGCTTGGTTTTGGGGCCCATGTTGGTTGCTCCACGTTTTCTTTTTGACTCTCCGACAGATGATCCCCTAGATGCGCTATCCTTGACAAATATTTTTTTCACTGTGCAGGGCGAAGCCTGTTGCGAAAAGTTGGGCGATGGATGGCCAAATCAACCTTTTTTAGTGCCCAGCCCCCCAGTGGCACCCACTTTTTCGCAAAATCAGCCAGACAAAAAAGAAGGTACCCGTCTTTTCCTATGGACACCTGGCCTGAGCAGCCTGAGGAGCGGAATATTGTGGCCATGGCCTTCTGTGCCCACACCATGGGCACGTGGGGGGCCCTGAAAACGAAGGCCTTGCATGTGGTGTCAAAAGACCCTTGGGTGGAAAAGGGTTCAATACAGAGGTTGACCCTCTGTCAAGGGTGACCCTTGCTTTCTAGAGGCTTCCCTTGCGTCGTTCCTCTGAACAACACATATCTTCTGGTGCTGTTTGCCCTTATTTGCAAAGAAGGACCCTGGAGTAGAGGAGTTAGTATGTTTGGTGGAGCAGCCACCAAGTTCCTACACTGCAGTCCGCCAAATAACTTGGCCAGCGCTGGAAATGTATCAGCAAGCTGCAAAAGCTACTCGGAGGTGGTTTTTTTTTCGTCATCGTCATTTGGCACGTGCTGCGCGCACACAAAAAAAAAGAGCACACGAGGACACCGCAAAGAAATCACAAAGGGGAACCACTCCAACTACAAGGGTTGTCTTCGTTTCTTTTTCTTGTTCGATTTCCAGACTTGGCTGCAGCCGGAATCATACGATAAAACGGAACGGCCCACGCAGGTTGGACACGCCAGCGCTTTGTTTGGCAGTTGGCTCAGCTGCCCTTTCACATTGCACACCATAAGTGCTCCCCTAAAAAGGGAGTTTAATTTTGTGAGAGGTATGCAAATCTGCTCCCCGCGAAGGTGGCAAAAGGAAAAGCCTGGCATACAATATCCACCCCAACATCTCAAGTACAGTAGTTTGGTCAATGCTTTGCATGGGCTTCTTGTTGCCCTAAGACAGGCTGGAGGGTTTTCTGCGTGTCATTGCCTAACCTCTTGGCTGGGTATGGCGAGCCATCCGGCAGTAAGCTTGAAGCAACACACGAGCTCCTTGCAAGATCAGGGCTATCTGATGGCAGAGAAGGGACATGGACGCCTGCTTGCAAGGGTTTATGATGTTGGATGTCAAGAGTTCTAATTCGGGATGGAGTTCGTTTGCTTTACTGACTTTGCCTACTCTCACCCAGAGCGTCGTTGGTGACTACTCAAAACCGCCCTTTCACGAGGCTGCGAGAAACAAGACCCCTAGGGGAAAACCATTAGGTTAACGCACTATTCACAACTATGTAGCCCGAGTAAGCGCCAAGACCACAGTTGGCCTGGTGTAGTCAGGAGGGGAAAGGAGTTTGGATCAGGCCTAGCAACCATCCCTTTGTGTCCACGAAGACCATCATGCATCCTTGATGCGCCTGTGGCAAACGGTCTTCTTGAAGATTGGGAAATCACCGAGAGTCCGCTCAATTTCCCTCGGATAGCGTGTACTCCAACTGTGCCGCCTGCGCTTTTGTTAGGATGGATGTTGTGAGCTTTGTCCCAGCAAGGCCAGCCCGGCAGAGGGATCCGAAGAACAGGAGATAGGCGTTGGAGGTTCGGCATCCCTTAACATTTTTTCCGGGCAAACCATCAAGCCATGCTAGTTGTCCTCCTTTTTCAATTCAGCCGCGGGCGTGCGTGGGGAACTGCGCGCCAGGATGATCAAGTACGACCACGCGTGTCAGGTGGACCTCCCAACAGTTGGGGCCATCTTCACCAGCATGCGGGGACGCCTGCAGTGCCATTGACCCTGAGGGAGGGGGAGTAATGGTGGTGGTGGTGGTGGTGGTGGTGGTGGTGGTGGTGGTGGTGTTAGCAGCTGCTGCTGCCGCTAGTGCCAAAGGACAACTTGCGGCGCCCTGCAATCTGGTTGGGATGGACGCTGGTTCGGCGCTTGAAACTTTGGCACATTGAGATTTGAGCATATGCTATTTGGTCTCAAAGTGGTGGGCCCTTTCTGGTGGCCACCAAAAGGCGCCTACCATTTTGTGTGTGTGTGTGTGCGGGTGCGTGCGTGCGTGCGTGCGTGCGTGCGTGCTTGCGTGCTTGCGTGCGTGCGTGCGTGCGTGCGTGGGTGCGTGGGTGCGTGGGTGCGTGGGTGCGTGGGTGCGTGGGTGCGTGTGCGTGTGCGTGTGTGTGTTTGTGTGTGTGTGTGTGTGTGGGTGTGGGTGTGCGTGTGCGTGTGCCT